AATCCTAAACCCCAAACCCAAAGCCAAACCCCAAATCCCAAATCCCCCGGAAAGGCAGAAAGGCTCAAGACGGCTCGAGGCTCCCCAAACCGAGCGTGGCTTTTGCCAAAGTTGTCATAGGCCCAGCCTTTGGCTGCTCGGTCTTGGGCTTCGGCGGGGCAACTTTAAGGTAAATAGAGGGTAATTAGGAGGTAACTATAGGCTTACTATAGGGTATCTAACTATACGGTAACTATAGGGTTTNNTTTGGGGGTTTAAGTTGCAGGGTTGAGGGTTAGGCTTATGTAAGGTCTAGTTTTACTTGAAAGTTCTGTTGTTTGTTCGCTGTCGGGCAAGCCTACCGTATAGGGGCCGGTTGACTATCTCCTATAAGGAATCTCTACACCGTATACCCTAAACCGTTGAACCACCCCGAAGGCCTGTTAACCCCTAAACCCATGAGACTGTCTGAGCCGCCCGTACAAACCTGAAAGCCTTATAAAAACCGAAACCATACGAAAAAGTCCGGTTTGAAGACCCAAAAAGGGCTTCACCCCAAAACCTCAGAGCCTCCAATACATAAAAAACCCATAAGCACATGATAGGACCAATAAAGTCTATGACAAAATTGAAATTTTAAACACAAGCTAACGCCCCCCACCCCAATGATACCGATAAGATCCCAAAAACAAAAATATTTTAATACTATTATAGTACTAATATACTAAAATAGTACGATTACACTTATGCTATAATAATTTTGCTTTAATACTATATAATACCATAATAAGCCGGTCCTGCGGAGGATGATCGGTACATCTTCCGATAGTTGCCCGTCTCGTCGATTGCCAGCAAACCTCTCAAAGGACCCTTTTTGGTTACTTGCTTGTTCGTTGAGGATGCCCTCCAAACGTGCCAAACGAAATATACCAAACCCACAACCTTTGATGATGCTAAGAATCAAACACACAAACACACACTTTAAGACAACATCTCTGACCCAACCACCGGTGTTCATGGGGATGGTCACGTATTCGAATGATGGCGAAGAAGATGTGATGATGTAGAAGAGGTAGAGGAAGTAGAAGACGATGTAGAGGAGGTTGGTGAAGTGTATGTTGTGTGGGAGTTCACTCAAGAACATGAAATCTTCATGGGCATGTTTCGTCATACATGCATAAATCTGGTCTACCCGAAAAGGCTGCATGCACAATCATTATGATTGCCAATATGTCCACCTGTATAGGACAATCTCAAAGGTTAAACGCATTCTGAGAAAGGCGCCTACTGAGGCTACAGACCCGAAGGGAAGGGCGTTTAGCCCAAGCAGTTGTTGTTCTGTGAGGCCCGGGCAGTTGACATCCAGGCGAACCAGATCACGATCGTCAGGGTGAATGCCATATTGCTTGTAAGCTGATTTCAAGTCGTTCTCTAGTGTATGTGCTTGAC